TAATAATGTGCTTGGCTTAGAAGGCAGACAAGGAAAAAATCCAAAAGATGAAGCAACTTCCAGGCTTTCACCAGAAAATCATCTGAGTTAACTCAACAGAAGTTCTCAGCATTTTTAGCAAGCTTAGGGTAACATTTCTGACACAAAATTACTAGTGTTAAAAATTAAAAGCAGTCTTTTTCTCCCCACCCCCTGAGAAGATAAAATCATAGGCTCTGAACTTTCCTGACTGATTCATAGACTTGGGAAGAAACTGGCAAGCTAGCTGGAGAATTCCGGGAATTGAAGTGCAGACATTTTAAAGTTGATGAGGTTAGGAAACACTGGCTTAATAGCTCTCACAGTCATTGCTTATGCTTTTTAAAGAGACAAGTGACCTACTCCGAGAACAGGTACAGTAATGCCTAGTGGTGCAGTGGTTAGAATGCAATATTGCAGGCTAACTCTGCCCACAGTCTGGAGTCCGATCCTGACTGACTCAAGGTTGACTCAGCCTTCCATCCTTCCGAGGCCGGGAAAATGAGGACCCAAATTGTTGGGGGCAATATGCTGACATGGTAAACCGTTCAGAAAGTGCTGTAAAGCAAAGATCCCCAACCCCCAGTCTGCAGCTTGGTTCTGGTCCGCAGCCTGTTTGGAACCGGGCCGTGGAAGAAGTGTGCGAGTGCATGTGCAAAGCGGCGCACATGCGCAACCATCTCCTTTCCTACACCGCCGCTTCCGTCAGTCTGCTGAGGTGAAAAGGTTGGAGACTGCTGCTGTAAAGCACTTTGCAGTATATGAATCTAAGGGCTATTGCTCATATCCGCCACGGATTGCTCCTAACCACCAATAAGGCCACAAATAAAAGATGGTTGAACTCCTTTTCCTGCTCAAGCAAGCAGATGTAGTACTTCAAGTTGAAATTCTGTGCTCATTCCTGTAGGGTAGCCAAGCAGGCTGAAAAAGTTTCCTATTCTCTGTGATTTTGCTCCTCCTAAGAAATTGCCTATCCAGATTAAAGATGGTTTAAGTCACATGCAAGCAGAAGATGCACTAGACTTAGAATTACTCCGCTAGAAAAACTTACTTCAGCAAGATTGTTAAGGGGTACATCCTGAAGGGACAGGAAGCTGCTCAATGAAAGGAAGTAGTATTTTACTCCAATCAGTTTAAATGAATGTAGGAAGTCCTCAATCTACGACCACAATTGGGAGTGCAACCTCTCTTACAAAGTGATGCAATTTTTTAAGTGAGTGGCATCCCATTTTACTTTTTTTTTTTTTGCCATAGTCATTAAGCAAGTCCAGCTTTCCCCATTGAGTTCGGTTGTTGGAAGTCCCCTTAGAAGAGTGCAAATGGTGATCACATGACCCTGGGATGCTGCAACCATCATAAATACATGCTGATTGCTTAATGCCCAAATGTTGATCACATTACTGCAAAGATACTGCAATGGTCGTAAGTGTAAGAACCAGTTCACAGTCCCTTTCTTTCCACGGCTGTCTTAACTTCAACTGGTTGTTAAATGAATGGTTGTAAATTGAGGACTACCAGTACTAGGAGGACTGGACTCCAGCCTTAACTATGGCTCTTAAAAAGATACTGGTATCTAGGTACATTCTTCTTTTTATCATTCTAACTGTGGGATTTCCAAGCCTATCAACAAAGGCATGATTTGCTACCCTTGTGCATTTTATATTTTAAACCATTTAGCCCACGTGGCACATGCAAATCTGAAATTATATAATCACACAATTAGAAGGAACCATAGAGGTCATCTGCAGGATTCATTAGGACATCTCCTTTAGCAAAGGAGAACTTCCCAAGTACTTTACAATTTGTTCCACTAGCTGACAACTTGTAACAATTAGAAAATCCCTCCTGATGTCTAACCCTAATTTGAATTCCTTCCTTGTAGTTTGAACCCCTTCTGGTCCCGTCCTACTCCCCAAAAGACTGCTGCTGGTTTTGGCTGGAGATAGCCAAAAAATATTGTGAGATACAGAAAGAGAGAGCAGTGGTGGCAACCCTGTTTAGAGTAATGTTAATTTAAATTAGCAGCTTCCCTTTAGATACCTGCTTCTCTTTAAGAGTGGGATTAGGCAATCTGGAGTGCTGCCCTACAACTCCCACAACTGTAAATATAACCAATATTGGAAGATGCTGGGACTGTCATAATTTGTCCAAGAGATTCAGGTACCCTACATCCAATTAAGGGATGCAGGGGAAAAAAAGGCATGATTTTTAAGCCACAAACCAAAAACGTCTGCTGATACACAAAACTATTACTAGAGTGTCTGGTTTCAAATAGTCACTTTGTCATCTCCAGCACGAGCAGCTCAGAGTAAAAAAAAAAAAAAGAAGAAGAAGAAGTGGTATTACCCTACTCAAGAGATTTTTTTAAAAAAGAGGCTTCCGATATGGGAACCAACAATCTTTGTCCATTTACACTGTTGTCCCAAACAAAGTCTTGTCTGAATCCTGTTCGTCATCCCCAAGTGAAAAGTCTTTGGTGTCCAAATCAAGGTCTGGGATACAATTTGTCTCCAATGACAGGTTGTGATTTGGTGAGTTGGTGTCACTCTGCGCACCAAGGACAGGACTCAGCTGTTCCCCTTCCGCCATGTATGCCAAGAGATTATCCAGGACTGGACGGCTACGACAGATCTTGGTCAGCAGGCGGCTCCTGTGCCTCAGCTGCGTTATCAAGCTGTCTTTTTCCTGGATCACATTTAACAGTTTTTGTGCATGCTGTTCAGAAGACTGCAGCTTCTCCTCCAATATGGCAATTTCCCTTTGGAGGAAAAAAAACAACAGGTTACCCGAGGAACCATCTTATCCACCTCACACTGCCCCATCCCACCTGATTGGGCAGAGAAGGTATATTATGGAATACTAGATTTAAAGAATTTCAACTGGCAGGGTCTAGGAAAAGAGCCTTCTCTGCTGTTTCCCCCACTGTCTGGAATATCCTTCCCCTAGAGGTGAGGCGGGCCTCACTTTCTTCACTTTTCAAAAGAGCCTGAAGACCCGGGCTAGCTTGCAAAGGGCTCACAACCATTGGGGTAGCCAGCGCATTGAAGCCCCTCAACCCTGCCTTTCACCATTTTTATCCTTGTTTTACTTGGCTCCCTTCTATTGATATATTGCATCTTCACAGGTAGTCCTCAGGATACGAACACAATCGGGACCAGAACCTCTGTTGTTAAGCAAAGCAGCCATTAAGTGAATTGCACTTCAATTTTGGGGCACTTTTTTGCTGTAGTCATTAGGCAAATCACAGCAATCATTAAGGGAATCACGTGATCATTAACCAAATCCAGCTTCCCATTGAGTTTGCTTGTTGGAAACCAACTGGGAAGGTCAAAAATGGACGATCATGTGACCCCAGGACTCTACAATCATTGTAAATACATACTGGTTGCCAAATTTGGTTTATGTGATCACAGGGATGCTGGCCGCAACAGTTCTAAGAGTGAAGGACTAGTTGCAAGTCACTTCTTTCCACCGCTGTTGTAACTTTGAATGACTGCTAAACTGTCATTAAGTCAAAGGCTATATATGATTTTTATGTTTTTATATTTAACTGTTACATCTGCCAGAGTCACTCTGTAGAGTAAGATGAGCAGAATCTAAATTTAAAAAATAAAATATGATGGTAGAAATAGAATACGATGGTAGAAAGGCCTGGTAAAATTATGTTTAAGTCCTTTTTCCTAAGACAGAGCCACAAGTTAGAAATGAAAGTATCCATTGGAATATGATGATTGTATACAAGATGTTATTAGATGGGCTTGCTAGTAGGGAAGTGCTCCATGTTGTAAACCTGGAAATAATGTACAGTATTTGAAAGGGTTTCTACCTGCTTGCTGAATTTTTCAGCCCACCTGAAGCACCTACTGGAACAATTACACAATTGCTATTCAACAGGAAAAGATGCTGACAGTGCCTTCATATCCACAGACTGCACAACTTCAAACTGGCCTCTCTTTTCCTATTAATTTGTTCCTGAAGTTCCAGCTGGGATAGCTATTTCCATGGGTGCATTTAGTCCAACTATTTCCGAATCCTGAGAAATAATGAGAGTTTGGCAATATTGAGAAGAGACACCCCCACCCACCCCCAAAACGCTCAGTAATATTCAGAGGACCAACTTCATATAGAAAGTCCCACGCCCAAAAAAGGCAAATGGCAGTCAAAGAAAGTGCAACAGACCAACGAGTGCCAACGAGTTTTCAACAAAACCGTTTATTCGCTCACTAATGCCAAAGTCACTCTAACCAAGATTCTAGCCCTCCTCGAGGTCAGTACCTGTCCTTGCCCTCCCGAAGCCCGAGCACCGCCTGCCGCATCTCGGCATCCTTCCGGATGAGACTCTCAGCCTGGCCGTGCACCGTGCGCTCCGCAGCCGCCAACCGCCGCTCCAATTCTGCAACCCGCCCGTGCAGGGCGGCCAAATGAGCGTTAGCCTCGCGAATCTGGACCGGCGTCGGCGGCGAAGATGAAGACATCATGGACGACAACGACGACGCCCGGGGACGCCTCGCCCACCACCCGCGCATCGTGGCCAATGGGAAGGCAGGTCACACCCCCACACAAAGAAACCTCGCCACGCCCTTCACTCGGTTTGACGAATCAGAAGCGAGGCCGCACTTAACGAGACCAGAGAGAACGACAAATTGGATCCATGCCTCCTAATTACAGTCGCTCGACTGAAGCTCTGTCAGATATGAGATTCCCGTCTGGCCGGTCAAGAGCGTCCTTTACGACGCTCCGCCCCCAAGTAGGCGGGCAAGAGGAGGGAAACAAAGCACGCGCGGCGTTATTCCCCTTTACCGCCCAAGCACCCACCAATAGAAATCATGCGAAGCCACACTCACAAACCAATCAATGATTCTCTGACGGCACGAGCCACGCCCCCAAGGCCGCGCCTACTTTCCCCGAATCCCGTCCAATCCTTACGAACCTCGAATTGCTATTGGTCTGCGTATAAACCTTGGCTCTCCATGCTCTCGCGAGACCAAGTTCTAGGTAGCGTCCTTGCTGAAATCTCGTGATACTTGGGGCCGTCGCCGCGGTTGGTGTCAACATGAAAGTGTACGGGGAGATTCTGGAGGACACGGACTGTCTCCGTAAGACCTGGCTTGCGGGGCGCCTCGGGGCCTTTACCGGTGAGAACCAAACAGAGGCGGGCCGTTACTGTGGGGCTCCTCCTTCGCTGGTTTACTCGGAAGTTACCCCGAGTTAGCTGCGAGTCCGAATCGGGACAATGAAGATCCCCGTCCTTGAACCTCTATCGCCGTCGAGCTTTTAATATGGGCTTGTCCACACAGCCTCCTTGCCCCGCCCTGGAGGACGTCCTACGTAATGTCCATTAAGGACCTGTCAATCAGAATCGAGCTGGAAGGGACCTTGGAGGTCATCTAGTCCAGCCCCCTGCTCAGGAGATGGCCCCTCCTGGCAGGAGATCCTATACCGTTTCAGACAAGTGACTGTCCAGTTTCTTCTTGAAAACCTCCAGTGATGAAGCACCCACAACGTCTGAAGGCAAGCTCTTTCACTGGTTAATTGCCCTCACTGTTAGGAAGTTTCTCCAGGTTGCTTCTGTCCTTGATTAGTTTCCATCCATTGCTTCTTGTCCTGCCTTCAGGTGCTTTGGAGAATAAGCTGACCCACCCTTTTCTTTGTGGCAGCCCCTTAGATATTGGAATATGGCTATCATGTCCCCCCTAGACCTTTTCTCTAGACTAGCCAAACCCAAATCCTGCAACCGTTCTTCATGTTTTTGTCTGCAGGCCTTTAATCATCTTAGTTGCTCTTCTTTGCACTTTTTCCAAAGTCTCAACATCTGGGGTGGCCAAAAATGGATGCAGTATTCCAGGTGTGGCCTTATTAAGGCTTTGTAAAGCGGTACTGATACTTCACCTGATTTTGATTCTGTGCCTTTGATTGTATTAGCCGCACACTGCCAGCTCATGTTTAAGTGATGGTCCAAGGTGCCTCTCACAGTTACTGTTTTTGAGGCAGGTTTCACCTAATCTGTACTTGTAGCTTTGGTTTTTCCAGCCAAGGTGCAAAACCTTACTTTTCCTTGCATTTCATTTTGTTGGATAAGGCCCCCATTCTTCATATCTGTCAAAATCTTTCTGGATCCTGAGCTTGTCTTCTGCGGTGTTGGCTATTCCTGCCAGCTTAGTGTTTTCTGAAAATTTGATGAGTTCCCCTTCTGTTCCCTCATCTAAGTCATTTATGAAGATATTGAAGAGTACCATGAAACCTTGTGGTAACAAGTTTCTGACTGTCTTTGTCCTCACAGCATAACCTCCATCTCATTCTCAACCCATCCCAGAGGGCAGCTGAAACTGGTCCTAGGCATCCGGACAGAAAAAGCATTTTTTTTCTGAAAAGATCTCCATGCTGAAGCTCTTTATGGCATGGAGGAAGTTGTTGTTCCAGGCCTACTGGGCTCTAATTGGCTTGTTGGTGGGACTGCCTCTCCCATCTATTTACTTGGGGTCAGTAGTCCTTTGCAGAAAAGTGTAGTTCCTTTGTTCATCTGCGTCTCTTTTGTATATCTCTGATTTGTTGAAGGGAAAATCCATGCAAGAGCAAATGCTGGTACAGGTAGTCCTCGATTTACAACCGTTCATTTAGTGACCGCGCAAAGTTACAACATCACTGGAAAAAAAGTGACTTATGACTGTTGCAGAATCCCCATGGTCATGTGATTGAAATTCAGACACTTGGTAACTGACATATTTATGACAGTTGCAGCATCCCAGGGTCATGCGATCACTTTTGGTGACCTTCTGACAAGCAAAGAGAATGGGGGAAGTGAGAATCATTTAGCAATTGTGTTATTAACTTAATTGCAGCTATTCACTTAACTCTGGCAAGAAAGGTCATAAAATGGGGCAAAATTCAAAATTAACAACTGTCTCCTTAGCAACAGAAATTTTGGGCTTAATCACTGTCGTAATTTAAAGACTGCCTGTACATTGCAAGATCATGGTTTTCATTGGTAAACTCCTTCATACCACATACTGATTGCATTGCAGGAGATGTGGCCCCCAGTCATACATTGTAGGGAAACCTGCTGTTGCTGCTTCTTCTCATCATCCATGGTAGCACTTGGGGGTCTTGGAAGAGCCATATTACTTTATGGATAAACATGATTTTGGAAATGTGCGTGCATTAAAACATTCATACTCACTTTGGTCTAATGCAGGGGTCTCCAACCTTGGCAACTTTAAGATTTGTGAACTTCAACTCCCAAAATTCTGGGAGTTAAAAGTTGACAAGGTTGAGTGAAAAAAAAAAGAACTTTCCCTTTTAACTGTCATTCGGTGCTTGCAAGTCTTTGGGAGCAATGTATCTTTTGCAAATTTTAAATTCCAGGGTATCTTAGTTGTTACTTTTTGTCCCGGTCAGCGAAAAACTTTCACTTCTTAACTTCCTCCTGCACTTTCTTTTCCGGCTGAGTGCTTCTTTGAGGTGGCCATTTCTGACCGCCGCCCAACCGCCTTCGGAAAAGGGAGTTTAGCCAGCTGGGGAGGAGAGGTGCGATTCCTCTCAACCCTGCCAAATCTCCCCTGTCTTCACCACATTCTACGGGGTGGCTTAGCCCCGAAGCTGGGTGGCTCGGGCCACTCCAGCAGCGAGCGCAGGCAGAAACCATGCACGATCGCGGATTTCTGCCTGCCCTGAAGCGCTGCAAACCAGAACTCCAGTGTTGGAAGTGTGCGTGCATTAAAACATTCATACTCACTTTGGTCTAATGCAGGGGTCTCCAACCTTGGCAACTTTAAGATTTGTGAACTTCACAGAATTCCGGGAGTTGAATACCACAAATCTTAAGAGTTGCCAAGGTTGAAGACCCCTGGTCTAGTGGATAAGACACCAGGCTAGAAACCAGGAGTCCATGAGTTCAAGCCCCGCCTTAGGTATGAAAGCTGGGTGACTTTGGGTCAGTCGTTCTCTTTCAACCAACTCATTTCACAGGGTTGTTGTAAGGAAAATAGGAGGAGGAAGGTTTGTTAGATATGTACACTGCCTTGGGTTGTTTGTAAATATAATAAAAGCAGGGTACAAATTAAAAAAAACATCTTGATTTCAGCCAGGTGGGAGTGACTCCAGTTAACCTCTATTTTGCTTCCTCCATGAATGAAGAAAGATCACTGGTGAACCTCTTCTCAGATATCATATTGAAACATTTGAAAAAAGCCAATGAAAATTTATTGAAAATACAATGTTAGCTTTTAAATGAAAATGCATTGATGGTTTTTTTTTTTCAAAACCTCTATTAAAGTAGATGATTAGCATTCACTAGAAACAATACCTATTTTCCAAAATAGGTAAGTATTATGATTTCTCTGAAATCCTTTAGCAAATCGAATTCCATATGTTGATTAAATTTGCTATTATATGCAAGATTTATAATGTGTGTGTGTGTGTGTGTGTTTATTAAATAAATTTTTCTTTTGGTTTCAGGTGTTTGGTCTCAATATTACTTTTATATTTTGACCATTTTAAAGGTAAAGTCTTAGATTCTCTTCACAGGATAGGTAGATAGATTTTCCGTGGTTCTGAAATTCAAGAACCACAGCTCAAAAGAGCATCAGATTGAGAAGGCTGCTGTAAAAAGCCTAGCCCCAGCTGAACAGAAATGGTCAATTGCAGGCTCTGTGGTGCTGCCTTGTTTTTTAATCCATGGTCAATATAGTAAAACAACATGGTTTTATCCTTTAATAATTAGATTTTGATATAGTGATGTGGATAGGCACAGTACAGGTCTCAGCTACTCTGTAGCCAGCACATCTGACAAGGCAATAAACAACAAACCAGTCCAAATAAGCTGGCAAGAGGTTTTATTCCTTCACAGTTAGAGACAAGGAGAAGTAATGAGAACATTTGATCAACGTCAGCTCTGAGAGTCTGCTGGCTCAGAACCCCATTTATCCAGTTAGCTAATTGCCTCGCTGTAAATATCCGGCCCCTCCTAAGCCAGCATCCCGTTTGCTCTGCATCCCACACAATTACATAACCACCACCACACAAACATCCCCAAACCCTCATTTAATACCTTCCACCAGTGTTGCAATTGTCCAGCTAAGCATGTATGGCCTTCGTTCGCAGCCCGAAGCCCAGTTTCTCTCCATTCAGCTGGTTGTTGTAGCGCAGTCGCTCAGGCATCGCCCTGCTGATGTAATACAACTATGCCACATTACCAGCCCATAGAGAGCCCGATTTGGCTGGCGAGCGGCACGGTGAATTTCGGAGGTGTCGTGCATGGCCCTAGCCGAATGCGACACAGGTAGTCCTTAAGTTACAACAGTTCATGTAGTGACCATTCAAAGTTATGATGACACCGAAAGTGAGCTACGATCATTTTTCACACTTAGGACCATTGCAGCATCCCCATGGTCACGTGATCAAACCCGGATGCTTGGCAACTCATATTTATGACGATTGCAGTCTCTTGAGGTCATGTGAACACCTTTTGCGATCTTCTGACAAGCAAAAGCAACGGGGAAGCGAGATTCACTTAACAATTGCAGTAATTCACCTAAGAAATGGGGCAAGAAAGGTCGTAAAATGGGACAAAACTCACTTAACAAGGGTCTCATTTAGCAACAGAAATGTTGGGCTCAGTTGTGGTCATAAGCTGAGAATGGCCTGTATTCCTTTGAATATGTGTTATGTTTATGGGATTGCCAATGAAGGAAAAAACAGTTAATTATCTGTTTACTTTCCTTATTTTAAAATAATAAAAAGTTTTGTTGTTGCTGGCACTACTAACCTTTTTTTGTCATTTGCTGTTTTTTTTTTTAATCTTCCTGTAGGTCTCGTTGCTTCAGCTTACCATGTAGCTCTATACTCACCAGAAACATACCTAGAAGGACTTACGAGAGTAGCCAAATCCACTGTCACTATGGGTAAGGTCTGCTTCTTTGGTTAATAGCACCCAAATGCAAATCAGTACAGCTTATCGGGTTGTGGCTTAGCATATGTTATATGGATGAAAGCACTGTGGTTGTAAATCATGATTGATCCTAATTCTCTTATGTGAACCAAAAGCCAATTAGAAGGCATGGCTAAAAACAATGTGCAGAGTAATCAAAGTTTCATTTTTATTTGTATTTCATTTCTTTGGCAGAAAATAAATATATCACTTAATTTTAATCGTTACAATTTAACCTGGGTTTACCAGGGTTTCTCCAACTTCGCAGTGCTACAGTCTTATGTTGCCTGGCCATTGCTAAGTGGCACAGTCACATGACATCATACGTAACAACTATGCCACTTAGCTGCAGTGTTTCCAGGTCCAATTGTGAACATTAAGTGAAGACTACTTGTAATTCTATTATATGAATCCAACTAATTGTGACTTAGTAACAAGGATTTTTTAAAATGGGGGTTTAGAATTAAGTGGGTACTTAGCTTCACTCATTTAGAGAATAGGTTGAAAAAAATATTGGTAAATTATCAACTAAATTAATAAAGCTCCTTGTTCATAGATTCACAGTAAAGGAAACTGCTTCGCATTAAATATAAATAGTTGAGTTTGATAGCATAGCATATTTTGATAATCACAGATGTCTTTGGAAAGATTACTGCAGAGAAATTCAGGATGATCAGATGGAACAATTAATTCTCACGTTAATTGTCCCAAAGGTGCTTTTTCAAAAGGCAACTGGACTTTCTGTTGTTTTTTTCTTTTTCTTTTGAAGACGTCTTGCTTCTCATCCAAGAAGCTTCTTCCGCTCAGAGTCCAGTTGCCTCTTGAAAAAGCACCTTTGGGACAACCATGATTAATTCATGGTTAATTTGGGTTAAGCAAATTAACTCAATAATTAAAAAATAAGACCAAATCTGATTACTATAAAATTTGGCAGAAGTTTTACCACTGGTTGAAAAAAGGAAGGAATAAGTGTATCAAAGATGACTAAAAGTTTGTGTATACATGTACATTTGTATTATTCTTTATATTTGTTACTTGATGATGTAAGATAAGCAGGTGTGTCGAGATGTATACATCACATTAATTATTTTTAATGATGTTCAGTAACATTCTATATTGAAATATAAGGTTGCCAGATAGGAACAAACTGGGATAATTTCCCCTATTCCAAATTGTGAATTTTCTGTAGATATCTGACCTGCTATTATTTATTTATGAAATGTACATGCAGCCCATTTCACTACTGAAGTGACTCTAGGTGGCTCACAACAGAGAGAAAGCAAAAATATAAAAACCTTAAACATTAAAAAATTAACATTAACAGGGATTGGATAAAATTAGGAACTAGTACATGAGCAGAATCGAGGTGGGATCTTCTTTCTTGCTCCACTGGCTACTTCCAGCATGGAAAGCTCCCATCCAGACCCCAAATTCTGGAAAATAAGATGTTTGACCCTCTTTGTTTTGATCTGGGATAGCAGAAGCTCCATAATTATTTCCAATTGATTGCTCCAGACAGTTGAGTTATCACACTTGTTATAGTGTATAGGCCAAAAATACCCCTGGGTTTTCTGCTTTTCTTGTTTCACTGGACATGGCTTTTCTCCTTTAGCTTCTGCTTTTTTCCCTCCATAGCCACCCTAGGGGCAGTTTTTGCGGCCTCATCTTCCGTCAGTGCTGAGCTTCGAGACGCTCCAGACGATCCAATGAACTACTTTATTGGAGGATGTGCATCAGGGATAATTGTAGGAGCCAGAAGTTAGTATTGATCGTGCCATTGGTTTTTTTTTTTTTTTTTACATATTCAATGGAGATTTGGGGTTTTGAACGGAATAATGATAAGACATAATCTATAGCAGGGGTCTCTAACCTTGGCAACTTTAAGCCTGGAGGACTTCGAGTTGAAGTCCACCAGGTTTAAAGTTGCCAAGGTTGGAGACCTCTGATCTATAGTCTGTGGTCTAACCAATGCTTGTTTTCTCCCTCTTCAGCTAATAGCGTTCTTATCGGCACTTCATCTTGTATTGGTCTTGGTGCGTTGGGAGCTTTTAGCAAGTTTGCCAAACAACAAGACTGGAGATTCTTGGTACATCCTCAAAAATAACGTGGACTTCCTAATTCTAAAAGCAGATGTCCTTCTCTGTCTTCTTTTATCATATCTAAAAGTATTACTGTATGTACAGTTGCTAGTCATTGATTGAAGCTCATGGGGCTTCCAGACGATATATATATATTTAGTAATAATTGAAGGATGTCGACATAACTTGTACATATGATGAAGTGGTGATTTCACTGAATTGTCTGTTCTGAGAGGAACTTAACATCCAATAAATAATTGTGTTTGGATAGCTTATTGTTCATTTTCTACACTTAGCTTTCCCCCCTAAAAATGGCTTCCTCAGGATTGAGCTGGATGACAATACTGCAAATACTAAACATGAAAGGGACTCTACTGGATTGGACTAAGGGTCAATTGATTCTGTGTTACAGGTACTACTCAGATACGTTTCCAGGAAGCTCACAATAAGACTGGAAGCTTTTTCCTTTATTGCTTTTCCTGGTATTCAGAACTGGGTTGCTTCTCCACATAGGCATTTCATATAGTCATAATTTCCTAGCTTGGTTTTTCCCAGGTAGACCAGAACTAAGACTTTAGAATGCAGCCCTGATGGGGAAATATGGGTTTTATACTCCTAACATAAATAGAAAGTTCCAGGTTGAGGACCAAAGACACTTAGCCATAAAGGCTCTGTAGCCAAGAGGTAGTACATGTATAGTCTGCAATAAATTGTAGAAGCAAAAATGCAGAATGATTCATATAAAAAAAATATTGCCATTATTCTGAAAGCTGGATATTTCAGGCAAATTGTTGCTAGTACAGTTACAACTCAACATGTGACTGGTTACTTAGTGACCATTCAAAGTTACGACGGTTCTCTCTGGGGTATTTACAACCCAGTTCCAAAGTTTCAACAACTGTCCTACGTCCACAGTCACGACTGCATATTAGATGCTCAATAACTGCTCTCAGGGCAACATGACTTCGTTTTGTGACACTTTTTCTGAAAACCACCATTTGCTTCCAGTTTTCAGGGGGAAAATGGCCCACAGAAAATCATTGGTTTGCTTAACCATAGTAATGTTCGCTTAATGACCACCACCAATAAGGTTGTAAAATTAGGTCAGTCACGTGGGTAACCTGAGTTACAACCATCGTGACTTACAACTGTGATGGGCAAGCTCTGTTAACGGTTGTAAATCGAGCACTAGCTATATCCTTATAAGTACAATGCTCTCACCAACAGTTTCAAGCATTTAATCAATCTTATCAAATTTATATAGCTGTCCGTTTCATGCATACGACTCTGGGTGATGTAATAGAAACAAAATAATAAAAACACATTTTAAATAATCATTACAATCAGGTAAACATGTATTTACCTCCCACTTTGAGGAAGGTGGGCAGTTCAGAATGTGAAAAATAAATGAAATTTAATAAAGCTAGAGGGGAATGTTTAAAAACTTAAATACTGTACAATAAAGCCATCTTAAGGGCTGTTCCAAAGAAACCCCTGGATTGTTGCAAAACTAGTCTTGAGAGATTTCCAGAAAGTCAAGAGGATTAAGGCTAGGCTCATCTTGTGGGTTAGGAGGGGTGATATTACAAAGAGTGGGTGCTATGGTGGAAAACTCTCTTCCCTGGCTCTTGTCAAATGGAACTCCTTAGGAGACTCGTAACACGCCCTTCCTACCTGACCTGATGTAATTGGGAACAGGTGGTCTCTCAAATACCCTGGCATGACAAAATTATTTTTGAAATATAATGTACATATAGATTTTGTTAAATATCCACTCACATTTCTGTTTATATTATCCATATCTGGCGTAAGTATAATTGAGGTTCTTGATATAATTATTTCTGAATGTCCTGCTATTAAAAGAAGCCTCAAAGTACACCACCTATCAGATTTGTGGATACGAAAGAATTCTGGACTGTGTAACAGCAGGTCTGATGGGTGGAGCAAAAGCAGAGGAAGATGGGGTAAAGCTAACTAGGAAGGCCTATGCTGTGGCAAAGGCAGACTTCGTTTCCGTCACGATCCACAGCAAGTTGACCAAAAGATCTAAGTTGTAAAAGAGCTCATAAGGAAGACACCTTAGTTCCAATGTTTCAGGGGCTGCCACAGAGAAGAGTGGTCAACTTATTTCCCAAAGCACCTGAGGGCAGGACAAGAAGCAGTGGATGGAAACCAAGCAAGGAGAGAAGCAACCGAGAACTAATTAGAAATTTCCTGCCAGTGAGAACAACTAATCAGTTGGAACCACTTGCCTCCAGAAGTTGTAAATGCTCCAACACTGGAGGTTTTTAAGAAGAGAATGGAGAACCACTTGTCTGAAATGGTATAGGGTTGAGTATAAGTATAGAGTCCCTGCCTGAGCAGGGGATTGGACTAGAAGACCTCCAAGGTCCCTTTGAACTGTTATCCTGTTATTTGGGTGACATACAGATAAGTTACATTTGCTCTGCTTTGGATTCCTTTGTGGGACCCCCTCAGTGGTCTCCTTGTCCATGCATTATCAGTAAGCAGCAATTTATACAACCCAGAAATATGGACAGGATTCTTGAGAGCCTGATACAGATCACATGGGTCATCCTTGATTGACTCAAGTGGCCAAGGGAGGCCCAGAGTGACCAAAGCATCAGTGGACAAAGGAGTAACCCTCTAACCTTAAAGCAATTGTAGTGAGTCCTTTAATTAAGTCCTGCCTGGGTCCAGCTAGTCTCCAGTTTGCTCTTCTTAAGCCAGAGGTCTGATATCTTCAGTGTCAAGGTTTCCTTCATTAAATGTGTTATCTAAACCCATTACAATCTGACCTCAGTTCTGGTTTTGGAACTAGAGTCATTCAATTAGAAAATATACAGTGGACATTTGACAAAGAAGGTGTTTTGGTTCTGTTGTATTTCTCAATAATGTTTGATGCATTCATAGTATCCTTCTGGATTGCTTGGCAGACATGGGTTTAAAAGGTAGTATTTTCCAGTGACTCCAGACCTTGCTTGGAAATTGGTTTTAGTAGGGGGTGCTGGGATTTTCTCAGTTTCATTTTTGTCTCCCCTATGTGGGAAGGCCAAGTGGGACCTCTTAAACCCAGCTAGTTAAGATCTTCCTGTTTACCATAGCATTTGCCCCATAAGTAGTATAATTTTTACTTGAATAATATTTCTGCCACCACTTTCTTTTATTGGATAATTCTTATATAACTTTTTTTTCTTTTAAAATATTTAAATTTTGTATTACATGCCAGTCACATGACCTTGGAAGCATTTTGAGACAATGCTGGTTCTCTTTTAGAAAACAGAAATGAGCACTGTCCCCTAGAATTATTATATTAGTAGTAGTAGTAGTAGTAAATGGACAATATTTTTACAGTGTTAGCTATGTCCTTGTTTGTAAATAATATATTCGAACAAAATGCTGTATTCAAAAAATGTTTATGAATAAAATAAAATAAAAAGAATTGGACAGGGGAAACTGTTACCTTTTTACCTTCAACTAGATTTAACTGTTAGCTCTCTTGAGTATATTGCTTTACACAAACTAGGTACCTCTCAAAACGTGACTGACTTGTTTGTGATTTAGCTAGTGGTGTAGTGGTGTAGTTTATAAACATGGGTTTGTAGCTTATCACGGTAGGTAAATCTAATATGCTTTACTTATACTAACATGCTGCTTCAACCCAATAGGGCCCCAAGTGGTGTATTCAACAAAGCTGGATTAAACCACAGCTTATCATGACAGGTGATCCTTCCTTGGGGCTTACTTTAATAGCAAGCCCACTCAGAGTGACTTCCAAGTTTGCTTCTAAGGAAATAACGGCAATGTGGAACAGCCTTTGTGTTGTGCAAGGTATTAAGTCTCTTATAATTCTGAACCAGACACTTAAGCTTTTCTGCTCCAGCTGAATCTTTCAAATCAGCTGCTCTACGTCTCCATTTCCTGTTTGAAAAACTACTGCAACGTTGAAACTTTGTGATTACTTTGGAAAAGGGTCACCGTGACATACTTTGGATACAGCAGTTATGAAAATAGAGCTGCCTTCTGCTTGAGCTGGAAAACCCAAGGCTAGAAAAGTATAGTGGCAGCCTCTTTCACTTGGAAGTGTGCCACCCACATGCCATCTCTCCTGTGGCAGATTGGCATCTATTTTAGGACTTCATTTATTCAAGATGTATGACCTGCAGAGGTTGGTATCTCTAAGGGAACGTAACCTAGAAGTCATTCTGACTTTGAATAAGAAGGTAAAAGATGACTCCAGTGGATTGCTGACACCAACATTATAATCCTTTGCTATGTGCCTTCTTTTTCTTAATTGGTACACTGATCACCTAAAATCTTAATGAGTCTGGTAATGCCTTTCCTGTCTAGCAAATGTTATTAAAAGTCAGGAACTTTCACCAACTGTAGGTTATACCAACATGGTCAGTTTGCATCATCTGTACTTTAATTATGGGTTGAGGGGCAAGCCTTTAACTATAGCCCAATACAAAATTTTCTAAAACTAGCTCGCTGTATTATGTGGGCCAAATTATACTCAGCATGATTCAGCTTCTAGATAGACAGGAGTGGTTTGTGATTATTGCAAAACTGGGTCATTTCCAAGTATAACATTTCTTCTATTTTTTTCTTCTTCACATAAACAGAAGTTGGCATGTAAATATGTGAAAAATAAGAAAGAATGGGCTTAATCTTCTCCCACTATGTTGACTGTGGCTCTGATGCCACCTAGATTATTACTGATACTTGACTTTTTTTAACCCAGATTGCAAAACATACATATTCCTTCTCTCGCATGCATGCAAAATTCAGGAAGTGTCAAGGCAGCCAGCCATTGCATACATGACTGGGATGCCGACTAAAAGCCATAAATAAAAAAGCAGGGCTAGCTTCTATTGGCTGTGCCATCTGGTCTGGCTTTACGGCTGATCTACCCATGGTTAACACGAGACATAGCTGAGTGTGGTTTATGAGCATAATGATTTATTTTGAAACTGCAGCAGCTTACTAAAAGGGTTTTCCCCTCTCTTGGGTCACACACACCACCAATTATTTAATGCACTCGGTTTGGCCTCAGCATAATGGAAAAACAAAGTCAGGAAAGTTGAGTATGTTTAATGGTAGCAAGTTATCGTTTAAAACCAAATTAGTTCTTGGTTTGTGGACTGAAAGTCTGTGTTAGCGTAGCGTGTCCCACTGAAACTTTCAGTCATAAAGCAGCTTAACAAAAAAATAGGAGGATATCTGAAATTGAGCAAAGAGCAATTACTTATCTGTTGGACTGATTGATTTGATCAACAATGCTTAAATTATGCCTTCATTTAGCAACTTCTAACAATGGGAATTTCCCTTTCTTGACACAGAAAATGCCTCACCTAAGATAGTACAGGTAGCCCTCAACTTACGAACCACAACTGAGCCCACATTTTCTGTTGTTCTGCTGAGGCATCTGTTAAGTGAGTTTTGCCCCATTTTACAATTTTTCTTGCCACACTTGTTAAGGGAATCACTGCAGTTTGATAAGTTAGGAACTTGGGTTGTTAAGTGAATCCAGCTTCCCCATTGACTTTGCTTGTCAGAAGGTCACAAAAGGTGATCACCTGACCCCAGGACACAGCAACCATCATAAAGTATGAACCGGTTGCCAAGCATCTGAATTTTGGTCATATGATCATAGGGATGCTACAAAGGTAACTTTGAAAAATGGTCATAAGTCACATTTTTCAGTACTGTAACTTTGAACGGTCACTAAATGAACCTGTAAGTTGAGGACCTTTTACCTTTTATTAGAGCAGTGGCCGCCACTGATGGGCCGGGGACCACTGGTGGTCCATGAGAAAATTTTGGTGGTCCAGCGAGAAATGTCCCCCCCCCCCAAACAATCCAGGTTATTTCGGAACACAAGGCTGCGCCGCCCCCATGGCCCACCCACCCACCGGCCCCCACCCTTCAGCCAAACGCAAACCTTACCTTGAGTAGAGCCATGCGAGCTGGAACTGGAAGGTAAGACCAACAGCGGGGGAGGGAAATCCGCCCTGAGGTGACTTGCTGACATTGGTGGGAAAGTCGGTCCCATATTCCAGAGCTGCAGTAGTCACGAGACTGGCCCTTTGGTCATCCCGGAGCAGCTCCTCCAGTTCCATGGCAGGCCAGTGCACCCAGGTGGAGGAGCAATTGCTCCGGGATGACCAAAGGGCCAGTCCTGTGACTACTGCAGCTCGGGAATATGGGACCAAATTTCCCACCAACATCAACAGGTCACCATCAGTCAAAATTCATATTAGCGGTCTGCAGGATTTAAAATTATGGGTTTGGTGGTCCCTGAGGTCTAAAAGGTTGGTGACCCCTGTATTAGAGCATACATGAAAAAGTGTGCTCTACTTGTATGTCAACACAAAAAAGGTGCTTAAAGTAACTTGTTCCATACACATCATAATCTGCCTCTATTTGGAAGTAGATAAGGGTCTTGCTGATATTGCCTGGTTGGGTTATGAAATATTAGCAAGCAAACAGTCAAGCTCAGAGAACACCAAGAACTTCCCAGACCTACAGATAACTAACTCTAGATAAAGTCTATTTAGCACATTCCGATTTATCCTCAGTATTGGTGTGTGTATGCTCAATCCTATCCCTGGCTGGATTGTCTGGGCAGAGCTGTTAAAAAGAGGAAATTGCATCAGCTCTATTTGTTTTGAAAAGAGGGAGGTTTGCTGCAAGATTTGAATTGGGCAAGAACCTTTGGCGTATGGTGATAAGCAACCATAATGTAGGTGATAAACCAATTATATTTGGTGCAACTGTTCCTGTTTTCAGCAGATACCCCACCTCCCCCCTGGTGAATGCTGGGTGGCAATATAGAGGATCAGAAAACTTTCTCTGATGGAGAAAGTTCTGGAGTCTTTCCAGGATGAATTGTGGAAGCAAGCAAGCCCTTTTTGCTTGAACATGCCTGCAAATCTCAATCCTTTCTCCACTGTGACTTTTTGGATTCTAGCATGAAACTTTGCAAAACGCTCACATTCTCAAGCATTTCAAAGGAATCGCTTGTTGACTTGGCTCATATGTCAGATCATGGCTGGTTTAATTGTGGTTTGTTGAGTAAACCACCATGGCTGAGTTCACACAGCAGGGCAAGCAAAATTACACCTTGCAATTTGTGTTTTAGTGCACAAACCCAGCCAGTATGGTTTGTAAACATACTTTAATGCCTTATCGTGTTGTGATGCACCCAGCAAAGTGTGATTCAGAAAACCGAGTCCCATTATATCATTCAGCTTAAGCCTTGGACAGAAGCAAAACCTCAAGTTCCAACCCCCAAACGCACCCACTTGCAAGAATTCTTCAAACTTTCCTCCAGCTCCACTAGCCACAATCCCTTTTTTGTAAAAGTGAAGGATGAACTTGTTAATCTTCATTGACAAAGCAGAGGATGCTCCAGGACTGACAGCGGGGATTTCATAAGGCCGAGGAACAGCCTAGCAGCCGCTGCCATATTTTTCCCCAAATCCGGACACTCGCCTGTGGCGCCGCTGTGGGTTTTCCCCCACATGAGAGGGTTGTTCTTAATGGCGGGGGGTGGGTGGCTGCGGGGGTCTCAACATTTAGAAAAGAGACCCGGATGCGCGGGGACCGAGGCAGCGCTTGTTCCCCTGAACATCTGGTCTCTGACTGGACCGATCCCGTTTTCTTAAAAGGATGTGATCGGAGGGTCCCTCCTGGGGCTTTGGAGCAGGGGCGCTCTGCTCATTCTCAGAGGCTCCTCGCCATCGCCTCCCGCGCGTCCTTGCGCTGCGGCTCCATTCGAGCCCTGCAATCCTCCCGCCTGCGCCAGGCGGAGGCTGAGGCGCGCTAGGGCCTTACCCGCTCGCGCTGAGAGATCGCCCGCGATCGCCGCCCTCGTGTTCCCGCCCGTCTTGCGTGGCCAATGACGGCCCGGAATATCGAATCATTTCTCCCCGCGCTGGCCAAGCCACGATCCCGGTCGCCAAGCAAGTGGAAGAGCAACAGAAGGAAGACGTGGGCAAAGCATCCGTCAGGCAGGCTGCGGCGGCGGCGGCGGCGGTGGTTTAAGCCAGCAGATCGACCCGGAGAGGCGTCGGCCGGTCCACGTGGAAACCGCGGAGCGCAATTGAAAAGCTCGGCAGGAAGGCAACGCCGCCGGGACCCGCGAAACGCGTAGCAACCGAGGGGCCAGCAAGCGGAGCGCGATCAAGCGCACCACCACCACCACACGCATCCCGCCTAGATCTGGGTGAAGCGCCCCGCTTCCCCCTGTAGGAAAAAGCGAGGGGAACCCATCCCGCGCCCCTCCCCTCCACCTTTTCCCCCCCAGCCCCGTTGCTGCCGTGCGGAATCCCCAGGCCCTTCACACGTTTGCTGAGGCAAGTGGAGAAATGCGTAGCGGAGGGAGAGGGATTTGGGGGGGGGGTGCGATAAACCCGTGTTTTCGTCGGGGGGTTTTTGGGAACGGGCGTTGCGCGCGTGGCGGGAAACTGAATGGCCCGAGAGCGATTGTGCGTGGTGTGGGAAAGCCCGCGTAGAGGAGACTCCATATGGAATCGCCGAGGGAGACTATGGGTTCGGTGGGGGGAAAGGCCGGGGGGCAGGTAGAGCTTTGTGTGTGGGGGCGCCTGCTTGCCTTTCTCCCTCCAGCGATGCGAGTGGCCTTTCGGTGAAGTGAGCCCCGGAATGGCGAAGGCAGGTGCCGCCAAAGCTGCCCCCCTCCCACACACCCATAATAAAATTCCTCTCCCGAGAGAAAATGGAACTGGATTTTGCACACGCTTCCTTTGAGGCACGCGGAGGAATTTCGCCCTTCCTCTCTCCTTGGATTTAGGTCAGCCCGGCCTCGGCTCGCAACGGGTTTTTTTTAATTATTATTATGTGTGTAATATCTCCCCCCCCCCCCGGAGCTTCCTCTCACATTGGAGGCCTGGGAGCCCAGGGTAGTAAGGCTGATAAGGTTTTCTAGCTAACGTGGACTCTTCAAGCATGTGCGTGTTTGTGTGTGTGTGTGTTTCCGTTTCTGTAGCTTATGAGGGTGGGTGACTGCAGTTCCATCCCTTGTTAAAAGACTACATGAAGAAGGTAAGCAGTGGGAGATTGGATCTGTGGTCCATCTGTTCTCACAGTGGCCAATTCTCAAGTCAAGTGGCCAAGGAAGCCCCACTAGTCTCCTAGCAGATGGCCTTTGCAAGCTGTCACCCTGCCATTAAGGCCAATAGCCATTAATGTCTCTCCTTTACCTTCTATTAATGTGGAGCTTTAGTCCAGCCAACCCTGTACTTCTACTCTTGACTTTCCCAACCTGGTCTTCTCCAGATGTGTAAAAGCTTCCAAATCCCATGATTCTTAGCCAGGTTGTAGAAATGGAAAGGATCCATACTCAAGGAAGCTATCTGCAAGCAGTATAAATCCTTCCATTCTCCACTATCCTGTCTTCTTGGATGAGAAGCGAAATGTCTTCAAAGAAAAAAAAAAACAGAAAGTCCAGTTGCCTCCTGAAAAAGCGCCTTTGGGACAATCTGGATGACTGAGAATCTCCATAGGCACATTGTTGATGGCTCTCCAAGCTCATTTCCGGCCCAACAAGGGAGCATCCACTGATGTTTCTCCACCTGGCACCTGCCTGAAGGAGACACCTCCATGCAGGTAGTTTTCGATTTACAACCGGCTTTGAAAAAGGTGGCTCATGACTGGTCCTCCTCACACTTCCACATGTCTTAGCATTCCCATAGTCACATGGTCAAAATTAAGGTGCTTGGCAGCCAGCATATATTTATGACTAGTTTCAGCATCCTTGGGTCATGTGATCACCATTTGTGATCTTCCCAGCTGGCAAAGCCAATCAGGGAAGCCGGATTTAATTAATGACCACATGATTCACTTAACAATTACAGTTCCTCATTTAACAACTTTGGCCAAAAGGGTTGTAAAATCAAGTCCAGCTCACTTTACAACCACTTTGCTTAGCAAAAGAAATTCTAGTCCCAATTGTAGTCATAAGTCAAGGGCTACCTATACAGGTAATCCTCGATTTACAACTACAACTGAGCCCAAAATTTATGTTGTTAACTGAGAAATTTGTTAAGTGAGTCTTATCCTGTTTTACGACTTTTCTTGCCACCTTTGTTAAGGGAATCACTGCAGTTGTTAAATTAGTAACACAGTGGTTCAGTGAATCTGGTTTTCTCATTGACTTTGCTTGCCAGATGGTCACAAAAGGCGATCACATGACTCCGGGATACTGCAGCAGTCATAAATGTGAGTCAGTTGTCAAGCACCTGAATGTAAATCACATGGCCTTCAACAGTCGTGTGGAATACGGTCATAAGTCACTTTTTTCGGTGATGTTGTAACTTTGAACAGTCACTAAATGAACTGTTGCAAGTCGAAGACTACCTGTATACCTCTCAGCAGGACAGCGCCATATTGGAGAAGTTTTGTCTGTTTTCCAAGGAATTTCCAGCAGTAGGAGCTGATGTTCCTCAAGGGGTTGACTCCTAAGGCTGAATACAGAACCATGCAACCGAACAAACAGGATTAACAGACAGATTAACAGAGTTGGAAGGGACCTTGTAGGTCATCTAGTCCAACCCCCCTGCCCAAATGGGAGACCCTACACCATTTCTGACAAATGGCAGTCCAATCTCTTCTTGACAGTCTCAATGATGGCGCTCCCACAACTTTTGAAGGCAACATCTGTTCCATTGGTTGATTGTTCTCACTGTCAGAAAGTTTCTCCTTATTTCTAAGTTGAATCTCTCCTTGTTCAGTTTCCATCCATTATTCCTTGTCTGGCCTTCGGGTGCCTTGGAAAAATATATTGACCCCTTCCTCCTCTCTGTTGCAGACCCTCCAATATTGGAAGTTTGGAAGACTGCTATCATGTCTTCCCTGGTCCTTCTCTTCACTAGACTAGCCATGCCCAGTTCCTGTAACCGTTAATGTGGGATGGATTGTGACACTTTTGTCAAACAAAACAGGCTTTCCGTCACTGAACTGTAAGGGCACCGAAACAGGGACAAGCAGCCATTTAGAATGCAGAATATTTTTCCCTATTTTTTAAAATGTTGCCAAGGTTTGCAGGAAACTGAGCAGTGATATAATGATATTACTGCAGAGAAGCCAGGCTTCTCCCCCCCCCCCCTCTCACTTTTTGGGGAAGTTTTTTTTCCCCTCCTTCCTTAACAAGTACATTATTATTATTTTTCCATACAACCATGCCCAATTCTTGAACTCTGTCAAGGCAAGTCCCTGCAGTTTTCTTGGCAAAGTTCTTCAGAAAATGGTTTGTCATTGCCTCCTTCCTGGGGTCAAGTGGAAGTGACTGGCCACAGGTCACCCAGCAGTCAGTTTTGTGCCCAAAGCAAGACTAAAATTCACAGTCTATCAATTTCTACTCTGATGCCTCAATCATTACACCAAACTGGGTTTCAGAACACATAACATTAAACTTATCAAAACCACCTAGAATCCGCAATAGCATTTTTGGGAGCTTTGTTACCGAAGACAGTATTGTGAAAAATTCCACCAGTATTGTGGAAAACTACAAGAGGTGACATAATCCAACCTTGTTCTAGCTAAAACGCAGGTTCTAACTGGAAACATATAGGGACAAGAATGGGCTTTAAAAGGAGCCCCTCAAACCAGGTTTCTCAAACTTGGCCCCTTTAAAACCAGTGAACTTCAACTCCCAGAATTCCCTAGACAGCCATGCTAGCTGCGAAATCCTAAGAGTTGAAATCCATGCATTTTAAAGTTGGCAAGTTTGGGAAATTATCTGTGTTTCAATGTTGCCTGCCCTGACCATCAAGTTCCCCCCATCTTCCAGTGAAGAATGCTTTCTGGCTCCGTGGACTGAAATTTGACGCTACAGTTGCACAGAGGCCAAAAACAGGGGAAAAAACACCCATGTGCACAGCCATTGAGTTATATTTACTGTAATAATAGATTTGGCTGTGTTCTGCAAACTGATACAAGGCTCTGAATCATTCCAGTAACCAAAGATAGTCTTTCACTCTCTGAGTAGAGTTCTTGTTCGGGCTGTTTCGGTCCTGACCGAGCGAGAGAGAAATTGATGCAGGAGGTTGTATCCAGACAGTCAGAGTGAGTTGGCCTGGTATGGCAAAGCAGGAGTAAAATCCCTGCTTCTGTGTTTATTTATTTATTTTTAGAGTGGAAATATCTGTCTGAGTGGGCCTTGAGCCAAGTAAGTGTGGGTGTTACATTTCAAGTCTGTTAAAGGCTGCCTTTGGCAAGTGATTGCTAGTGATTAATTTTTGCAAAAAAGAACTGGCAAGCTCTGGCGGCTCTGCATGTCTTATGCTGTAATTTAAGATCCCAGAGTCTCGGTCTCTCTCTCTCTCTAGTACTCACATGCTCAGAAGTGCCCTTTGTACATCATTCTTTGCTGCTGGAGAACTTCCCTTTCCCTCCCTTCTTTCCTCTCCTCTCCTTTTCTTTCCTTCTTCCCTTCCCTTCCTTCCTCTCCTCCCTTTCCTTTCCCTTTCCTTCTCTTATTTCTTCCTTTCCTTTCCTTTCCTTTCCTTTCCTTTCCTTTCCTCTCCTCTCCTCTCCTCTCCTCAGCAACTTGTAATGGGAATATTCAGATTCTGCTTCTCAGGGTTATTGTAGAGATGTGGAAAAATCAGAACTAGGCACTGCATCTAACTTAAAATGCCAAAAAATAAATAGCACTGAATAGTATTCAGGGTGAGACATGTTCTGGGGCTCCAAATTGGTTTATTATTTCAAGTTTTTTTAAAAACAATCTGGGATTTAGTTTTCAGCAAAAAGGATGACAGTTAGATTCTACTGTATAGCTTAAACCACAGACCACACAAAATAAAGTTGCTTGTATCCTGTGTGCAAAAAGCTGTGGCTCTTTGGAGATTTAAGGAACATTTTCTAGAATTACAGTAACACAATTAGTACAAAGTACCGAGTATCTCTTGCAATTTTGGGCAGCACTAACTATTTGGGGGGTCAAAGGGTGAAGTGAATGGGATCATAGCAAAATCCTTGGATATACACACAGAGCAAGGATGGGATTTGAGTGGATTTAGAGCCTTACTGAGAAAGTAAAATAGGGTTTCTTGCCCCCCACCTTCAAAACGATTCAGCACAGTTAGAGAAAACTCCATAGGTCACAATGAAAAGGTTTGGGAGGGCAGAAAATTATAGAGATGACTGTAACTGCATTTTCCCTCCCTCCTCACAAGAGAGTTAAGGTGGAGTCAGATTTCTTTTTAATGTTTTTTTTCTAGGATTA